GTTTCTATCTTGCAATGGCCCATCATTTAATTTGCAAAATGACTGTGGCTGCAAATTAGGTAATTTGGTAAGGTAATTAGCTTCAATTATTGCCCAAGGCAACCAAGATGTCAGGTAGCAATCTATCAAGCTTCCAATGAGTCTATCTCAATAGTTGAAGAATGAAGGCAGAATAAAACCATATCATAGACAGCAACTAATTATCTAGTTTTTTCCCTTAGTTTTGGAACTCCTAGAATTGTTTTCATAGAAAGTTGAAATAAAACTCTCTGATAAACTGAAAGACAAAAAGGATAAGTAGAAAAAATGGAAAGAAAACTAAGGCACAATACCAACAAATAGCCTGAACTTGCAAAAGTGGAGTCAGGAAAGCTAAGGCTCAGAATGAAGTAAGACTTGCAACAAATGTCAAAAAGAATGTTTAAAAGTTTTTCAACATATTAAAAAAAGAAAAAAGTCAAGGAAACTATCGGTCCACTAATGAGAGAAGATGGCAAGGAAGTAAGAGGCGGTAGACAGAAATCAGAGCTACTTAATTTATTCTTTACATCTATCTTCATCCAAAAAATAATATAGTCCAACCAACCTACCAAAACATAATCGTAAAAGATAGACTAGGAATACAAATTAATTAAGCAAGAAAATGGTAAGAGAACACCTTCCACTTTAGACAAGTTCACCGGGACCTGACGGATTATATTCCAGAGTTCTGAAGGAGCTGGCAGATGTGATCTTGGAATCATTGAACCATATCTTTCAAAACTCCTGGATTACCAGGGAATTACCAGAGGAGTGCAAAAGAATCAGAGGTTTGCAAAAGGGGGGGGAAAATCCAGAAAACTACAGACCAATCAGCCTGACATCAATACCTGGGAAGATCCTAGAAAAGATAATCAAGCAACAGGCGAACACCTAGAAGCAAGCAAAGTTATAACCAGAAGCCAACATGGGTTTGTCAAAAAAAGATTATGCCAAACAAGTCTTATTTCATTCTTTGACAAAGTGACTAAATTAGGGGACCAGTGAAATGTAATGAAAGTTGGAACACTTTCCATCAATTCTCCAGGACAAGAGATAGGCAAAATTTCACCACCACTTTTTAAACTATTCATTAAAGTACGCTTTTCACAGTGACGTATCAAATGTTGTATGACTTTATAAAATAAATGAAATCTGTAAGCCCTAATCTTCAATGTTATTTATTCACTTAGACTCCCTTAACACACTATAGCATCCTTGTGGAACTCTGTTAACATTCACTGGCAAAGACATGCATGGATTCTGATAATACAGAAAGGAGGCAAATTCTTTTGGAATAATAGTTATCTCTACAACCCACCAACTATATTTGCTATTCATATACAATATATTAATAAGAAGCATCTTTGAACAGTTCTCTGCAATATATAGTACTTCTAAAAACAACACTATCGTAGTTGAAATATTATTTTATCATGCTTTTATTTAGCCATCTATTCATCTATTCGCATCTTTCCTTTTGGGGAAGGCAGTGTGTTGTTGTTTTTTCACTTCTCAGCATAAAAAAATGCATATACACTTTTTCTGCCATTAACAGGAATAATTAAGTTAAAAAACAAAAAAAAATAACATGGAAGATACTCAAGCTCAGATAGTATCTTTGCATTTACAGTTTTCATGGCAACAACTCACTGCTAGCTGTGTGATGAATTATGAACTACAGGATACAGGTTTATTAAAAATCTTACCAATTCAGTATATAGTATGTAGACCACATGTTTGAACATTATTTCATGTTTCACATGCATCCCTATCGTACAAAATGTTACAGCACATAGTGGCTAGGTTAAAATTCTTTCTACAGGCATTTTTTAGAATTTCTTTTCTTAAATTTCTGATTCTTGATGTTTATCAGTTTCAAATTATTTTTCTATGTGGATTAGGAAGTGGCTCACTCTTCAATAACAATTCTATTTCATTTGTACAGTTTCATTTGTATAGCTCTGAAAACCATTATACTTGCCCCCAGGCTGCAATTATCTGTTTTCTACAGTTTTGTTATTAGTATGTATAGAATGCTATAGAACTGTGCTGTATAGAATTTTGACAGATTATTTGAAAACTAGTAGAGTTGTTTTGAACAGAATCACTTAAAGACATGCTTTCTGTTGAAGGTAAATGCTCTTTCAGTTATTATGCACTCACAGATATCTAAAATTCTATAGATACTGCATGCTGAACTTCATTTAAAGTCTTTTTGAGACAACATTCATGTTTTTGTTTTTGATTTGAAGCATGTTATTTTATTCAAGTCAAATGACTGATCTTATAACTTGCAATGCTTTGTTAGATGCATATTTTACATGAAAAATGAAGACATTTTTTCATACTTGCTTTTATGAGTCCGCGCTACGAAATAATACAATTAGATTTTGCACTGAAAATTAAAGCAGTGAGGGAAAATCTGCAATTCCAAAAATCATGATGGTAATCACTATATTACTTTATATTCAAATGCCAACTCCAAATTGTAGCATTTATTTAACGTGAAACCAAATGCAGCAGTTGGTTCCATTTTGCATTTATACATTATGAAAATAATTTACAGGACATGTATGAAAGATTCCCCCCATACTGGTTATATATGTTGATTTTTATATACCCAGTCTAGACTTTTAAGATGGTCAACTAAAATAGCATTTGACCTGGGAACCTTATTTATCCATACTTATTATTTTAGTGGTTGCTGGAATTGATTGCAAGAGCACAACTCAGTATTATACCAAAAGGAAGGCACTTCTTGACAGGTTCCTGAGTGGATTCATCTGATTTAATATGCATTTTTGATTACTGTATAACCTTCTAGAACCTTTACAGTCTGTCTTTGTCATTAATGATTCATCTGCCAAACTGTTGGTTGAAATATCAGTCTGAATTACCTCATCTTGACCTATTTTAAATCAATAGAGACCAATATGTACTATATAATTTAAGGAGCGTGCCTTCATAAAAAGAAACAGATTTTTCATTTGAAGGAGAAAACTAAACTCTGCAATTTGGAGTAAGTACATGTAATGCTTAGTATGCTGCAAGCTCAATCTGGCATTCTGGCAGTAGCAGAGCCCAAGAACTTAATTGCATTATTTACTGTTACATATTTAGCCATATAATTAGGCAGTGTAGAGCCAGTAGTGTCAGTATGTTTTTTTCTCTTAAGGACTGCTACTCTTAACTAGTTTTGTCAACTGTCCAGTTGGCGAATCCAGAAAAAGAAACTCCTGAGATATTATTTTACCAAGGGTATAAACTTTACTGAGTGTACCATATTGGCACAGTCAAAGCAAAACCACCTCTGGGTTTCCCGTGCAAAAGCTAGCATAGTTAATTCCCCAGTTTCCATATGGGCCACCTACAGTCCGTTATGTCCACCAATCACTTCTGTTCATTTTGTTACGGGAACTAGCCAGCCACACTAGTCCATCTGCTCGATGTATCCTTGGGTTGGAGCACTGTCCCACGGGAACAGACGATGGTCAGATGCAATTCCCCCCATCCTTGAATTCCATCACATGTCCTCCTTTTTTTGTGTGAAGCTGCGAGCAAAGAGGAATATAGATGAAAGTGCAAATCAGTCTTGACAAGTTTAAATAGTCATCTAATCTATTCCTAATATTATTCCTAACTTTCAGGTTTGTTTTGTCAGCTGTACAGGTACCAGCCATAGTCAGTTGCTCTGTACATTCAATATAATTTAATGTTTTTCTTTTTATCTTCTTCCTGTGTTCATCACATCTAAAACAAACATTAGGATGTTACAGAACTGGAGGACAAGAGTATTGCCATACTCTCTTCTTCCAAATTAAACTATTCCAAGCTGCTCCTAATTGTTGTAGTTTGTGCATTTTTGTTTGTTTGTTTGTTTGTTTGTTTGGGGGAACAGATTAAAAAAATATTCTTTGAAGTATTCGGAGGTTTGTGTTATCTGGAATCTAAATATATAATTTAGTTCAGTACTCTTTAGCAAATGGAAATGGTTAACTACTAAATACTTGGATAGCAGCAGAATCTTAGCTAGAGCTGGTAGGAAGAAAGTACAGGTCTGTAATGGTCAGTGGTTTCTTGATAGATCGGTTAATTTATTATTATAATTATACTTTATAATTTATTATAATAAATTTCTTGTTTATGGTAAAAAAAATATTGAAACTCTTTATTATATATTATTCTAGCTTTCAATTTATAAAAATGTAATGTGGTTAATACATCAATATCATAACTTCATTTATTCATAATGTTTCAAACACACAAGGGGTCACCAAGATGGAAACCTATTAAGATACTTAATAGACCTCCTTTGTTTTATCGTGATTTTAGCAGTAACTGCATGTAGAACTGTTAATTTATATCATTTGTATCCTTATATCAGTGAAAACCAACTATAATCAGAAACACATAATAATTTTGCTGTGAGATTTTGAAAGGTCCGTAACTATGGTTCTTGGAACAAAAATTTTGGGAAATATGATATATATCTAAAAAAATCATGTTTAGTTTAAATAGCATATTTTTATCTCTTTTTCATAAAACCTGAACTTCATTGAAGCCAAATAGAGAGTTTGATAGACAAAAGAGTTTTCTATCGTGTTGCACATTTGATAAATTCACTGCCAGTGATTATAATCAATGGCTACGTCCTTTCCAAATATATCCAGTTGGCCACTGTGTGACATGGAAATTTGAATGAGATAGAAACCTAGGCAGATTCAATAAGACCCTTTTTGTGGTTTTATTTTGTAATTTTAAAGGGTTATAAATAATTTATAAAGGAATAATTGCAAATAAAACTTTTCAAAGACTTTATGTAAATTGCGTTTTATAAAAATTTTATAGAAAATAGAAAGAGGGAATTGAAGTCGTAACAAAATGATTGCCTATGGCTACTTTCCATTTATTTACAATATGAAAGATTTAATTTTTAGGCAGCCTGTGGAGATTAAAGGGCGTTCTATTTTGCTTTTCAGCGTGTGGTGACTTGGAGTTCAGAGAAGTTGCAAGTCGATTGCGAGACTGGTTCAAGGCCCTTCACGAGAGTGGAGTTCAGAAGAGAGCTAGACTTTTGCAAAGGCCTGAAAGAAGCAGTAAGCACTTAACAATTTTTAATATGTCTCTGGAAGAATCTCTGATTTAGAAGAAATTTTTATTTCTCATTAAACTTCAAATTTTATTTCCTAAACCCTTTCTAGGATGCTTTCGATAAATTCATGTTCTTAAAACGTTGCCCTGCAGATAATAGAAACATGTATATGTATTAGCACGGAACAATATACACCTAGATTTATCAACAGGTTCTGCACCCTTATAAGTGTGATGAATGAATTAATGAATGAATGGATTGCTAGGCCATTTCATTCAACTGCTAGGATATAGCACTCTGTATACAGTACTATTAATTAATGTCTTTCTGTTAAAGCAGCATGCCCATTAAACCTGAATGGGGTTTCATGTATGCATATATATTTTATGCACATTGCACATGTGCATAAAATAGGAAAGGGATTTAATGTACGATAAGTTTGTGGGAAGTCAGCCCCCCAGAGAAGGAAATATTAAAAGGGCTGAAAAATATATTTCCTCCAAGGATCTTAAAGAGGCAGGGAAGCATGCCCAGTTTTCTTAATATCCCCAAGCAGAAACCAGCTCTATAGAGATGCAGATGTAAATCCAGGGAGCTAGGAGATTAAGAAGACAAAGACCTAAAATCTACATACCCCATCCAAACTCGTAAGAGTCATTATCACCAGCACCAGGGAAGCAGGATATGACCTTTGGGACATAATAGGATTAGCCTATCACCATCAGAATACCAGAAAAGCACACTCAGACTCAGGTCAAAGTTCATGCCACAGGAACAGGAAGCAACTCCAAACAAAAGGCTCCAGAGGGTATAAAAACCCACTCCCCACATGTGCTCAGCCCTTTTCTCTCCTCTTTCCTGCCATAACCATCTTTCTGTCTGGTTCTTCAATAAACTGCAACCTTCTCTCTAAAGCAGTCGCCATGTTGTTTATCCCCGGCTTGGACTGGACCATGATGAAGACTTTTCTTCCAACAAGTTTATATATTTTATACATACATAAAACGGAAATGGGATTTTACACAAGCATAATTATTTATATTCTACAGATATCAACTCTCAGGACACAACTCCAGTTTTTGGAGTATGGAATTATATTAGGTAGAATTGATTTCACTGATAAATGTTACTTTGCTGTCAGACAGCACTGGACAGAACTGGACTGAAGTGGCAGATAGTATTCAATAGCATATGGTAACATACAATTGTTAATAAATGGTACTATCATAGCAGAGAAATAAAATCAAAATTAGCAGAATTTATAATTATTTCTAGGCTGTGCTTATGAGGTTATGAACAGTGACATGCTTGACAATGGATTTCCTACTGAAGAACATTGGGAAGCCTACAGAGGAAAAATCTACTTAGCAGATTTTGCAAGCATTAAAACTGGACTCTTCAGTAATACAACAAGCCAATTCCTGTTGTTTAATATGCATTTTCTGCTGATAACTGCTTTCCTTGTTAGTTTCATTATTTACACTTTTAGATATTCTGAATATTTGTTCATGTCGGTTTAATGTCAGGTACTTATTTGTACAGATTTGCATTCGTTATAAATTCTATTATTTTAATTGTATTTTATTTCTTTGTGTGATTACAACAGTGCATATATAATTTATGCATCATTGCATTATAATTCAGTAGTAGTGAGACCGGTACACACAGGATCCAGGTTTATATTATTCATTGGCAGGAAAGGGAATATTTGAACATGATATCAAGTGGTAAAACTGAACAGACTATTCCTTTAATTCCTGTTCCAAAATTATTTATTTATTTTTATTAAGAAAATATATCTGGCTGCCCAACTCACACTGACCCTGTGCTGCTTACAAGGATAGAACAAAATGAAAGAACTAAGCTTTCTTCATACCTCTCACTGTTTAAAAATAACTATCACCCTTTGTTTAAACCATATTAAATAGAATAGATTTCAAAGCAATGTTTTGATTCAGCCCCTTTCATGGATTGCTACATTGTAATGGTGAAGAAGATTGTTCAATAATGCTATGAGTTCTATTGTTGAGAATGTAGACTCCCCTCCCCCCAAGAATTCATCCACAATTGTGATGAATCGTGGATGAGGAACTAAACTCTCCACAAGGAAACAACAACAACCTGATCCAATATTCTTCCAAGAAAACCAAATGGATATTTATAACCATGACAGTATCGATATCATACTGGAAAATGAGCTTCCATCTTGGAAGGCATTTAGTTTAAAAAGCTTTCAGAAAGAGCAGAAGGAAGATCCAAATGGCACTGAATATAATAGGAACTAAAACTGCTTGCATTTCTACTGGTTATCTGCATTTAAAATTGAAGTTACGGTATGCTAAGTGAGGAAAAACTCAAATACAGTGAAAACCATTTTCATCAAAAATAAGTTTTATAACGTTGATCATTGCAAATTGATTATATAAAATGTGTTCTTATTTTGGAAATTTTAGAAATAAATATACAACGACCCAAATGCTTGGTAGGTGGAAAGTCTCCACATTAGTTGAGTTTTCACAAGCTATCAATTTGTCTGATTTCAGGAAGACAACCAAATCTTATTCATATATTTTGTATTTTTCTTATATGCAATTGCCAAGCATTTTTTGAGGTTGTGTATATGATGAAATTCCCTTTTATTCCCTTGTTGGGACTGGCTTTGTCTGATTTAGAAAAGCCTTTGTAAAGTTTGATGATAGTTTACATAATGTAGATATATCTATTGGTGTTTTTTTCCTGGTAAGTTTCTGCAATGTGTTGTGTTTTATATGTATGGTTTTGTAATATGTTGTGAGCTTCTGAGAATCTATTTATTGCAACAGAAAAATCTCAGTCTAAAGTGTATCATATACTCATGAAAGCATCCTTTTGAAAGATGACAAATTGATCCCAGCCTGATTAAAGCAGCTATTATATACCTAGTTACAATTCTTTTTTCACCCAAATTTCAAATACATTTTGGTTTGAATTTAAGCATTTTCTCCTGATAAGAACAAGAGCTTCACACGTGCATGTAGTAGTAGTAGTAGTAGTAGTAACAATAACAATAATAACAACAGTAATAATAATAATAATAATAATAATAATAATAATAATAATAATAATAATAATAATAATAATAATAATAATAATAATAATAATAATAATAATAAAGTTGGAAGGCACCTTGTCCAACTCCCTGCTCAGGCAGAAAACCCTATGCCATTTTAGACAAATGGTTGTCCAGTCTCTTCTTAAAAACTTCCAGTGTTGTAGCATTCACGACTTCTGGAAGAAAGTTGTTCCAGTGATTAGTTGTTCTAACTGTCAGGAAATTTCTCCTTAGTCCTAGGTTGCTTCTCTTTTTGGTTAGTTTCCATCCATTGTTTCTTGTCTTGCCTTCAGATGCTTTGGAGAAGAGCTTGACTCCCTCTTCTTTGTGGCAACCCCTGAGATGTTGGAACACTGCTATGTCACCCCTCATCCTTCTCTTCATTAAACTAGACATACCCAATTCCAGCAATGGTTCCTTATATGTTTTAGCCTCCAGTCCCCTGATCATCTTCTCTGTACTCTTTCTAGTGGTGACCAAAACTGGATGCAGTATTCAAGTGTGGCCTTATCAAGGCATTGTAAAATGGTATTAACACTTCACGTGATCTTGATTCTATCCCTCTATTAATGCAGCCTAGCACTGGGTTGTCTTTTTTGGCAGTTGCAGCACACTGCTGACTCATATTTAAGTGATTGTCCACTAGGACTCCAAGATCCCTCTCACGGTTACTACTGTTGAGCAAGGTACCACCTATATTATTCCTGTGCATTTGGTTTTTCTTGCCTAAATGTAGAACTTTACTTTTTTCATCATTGAATTTCATTTTGTTAGATAGCTCCCAATGTTCAAGCTGTCAAGATCCTTCTGTATCTTACGCCTATCTTCTAGAGCAGGGGTAGGCAACCTTAGCTCTTTTATGAATCGTGGACTTCAACTCCCAGAATTCCTGAGCCAGCATGGCTCAGCTTGGAAACCTCTCCCTTTTCTCTCAGCTTGGCTGGCTCAGGAATTCTGGGAGTAGAAGTCCACGAGTCATAAAAGAGCCAAGGTTGCCTACCCATGTTCTAGAGTGTTGACTATTCCTACCAGCTTGGTGTCATCTGCAAATTTGATAAGCTCCCCATCTATCCCCTCATCCAAATCATTGATGAAGATGAACCCTGGGGCGCCACTAATTTTGTCACCTGGTCAGAAATGCAATAAGATTTGTCTGGCATGATCTGTTTTTGACAAACCCATGTTGGCTTTTGGTAATGACTTTGTTTGCCTCTAGGTGTTCGCTGATTCGTTGCTTGATTAACTTTTCCAGAATCTTCCCAGGTATTGAGCTCAGGCTGATAGATCTGTAGCTTCCTGGAACCATTTTTCCCTTTTTTGAAGATGGGAACTACATCAGCACTTTTCCAGTCCTCTGGTAGTTTCCTAGTGCTCCAGGATCTTTGAAAGATATAGTTCAGTGGTTCTGAGATCACATCTGCCTGTTCCTTCAGAACGTTGGGGTGTAATCTATTTCGTCCTGGTGATTTGAACTCGTCTAGGGTGGACATGTGCTCACTTTCCATTTTCTTGCCTATCTTAACTTGTGTTTCTAATCTGTTTTTTATGGTACTGTTTTTGATAGGTTGGACTGTTTTTTCCCTTTGTGTAAAGACGGATGCAAAAAAACGAGTTAAGTAGTTCTGCTTTGTCCCTATTGCTTGTCACCTTCTTGCCAGTTTCTTCCATTAATGGACCAATCATTTCCTTAACTTTTTTCTTGTTTTAATTATTGTCTTAATTATTGTTCTTTAATGTTTATTTTTACTCCTTAATCACAGGCTAAACAGTGCTGGGTAACTAATCATTTTGTCTCTCTGACAGAAATAGGAAGTGGTTTGCGTAAAGTTATCTAATATTTTGTTACTATTCTGAGAACTGTGCTTATCCATTGTGGCACATGCTATGGCAGTGATCAGGGTATCAGACTTTTA